CGCGCGGGATGAAATTTTGACATTTTTTTTTGAAAAACCATTGGTTTTTTGATGTTTTTATGTTAAAATCGCTACGAAAACTAAGGTTTTGGAAGGATTTCGTCTTGCGCGCGCGAATGTCCACTTTACCTTATTTTTTGCAAGGGATTCTTGAAGTTTGGTTATGTTAGAACAAGAAATGTCCACTTTAGCTTATTTTTTGCAAGGGAAAACCGATCGTAACAACACAACCGGATCCGGACTCCCCCGTTTTGCCTGAGACTTCCTCACGAAAATGATGAAAATGAGGCTGCGGCCTAGGCGCGGCGGGGGGGTCGTGCACCAGGGGTCCCAACAAGAATTATTCTTAAGAAGAAATAGTGTTCAACAACAACAACAACAACAACAACAACAACAACAACAACAACAACAACAAAACACAAAATACACAGTTTGTGTGTTGTTGTTTTCCACAGTGTGTTTGTCTGTGTTTTTTCCCACTGTGTTTTTGTTCCTACAAGTGGCGTCCAAATGGCTCCCAGAAATGCTCCCGAGAGGGCCCAAGGAGGGCCCCCCCAGGAGAGCGCCGAGGCGGAGCAACAGGCAGACCCGCGGCCCGCGGAGGGCGCCCCCGTGGCGCCACCACGCGGCGGCCCCATAGGGCTCCAAGCGGGGCCTCACTCGGGTCGGGCGAAAGGGGGGGATAGCAAAGGGGGGGTTTGAGAATCAGCTCACGTAGCTGATTTTCCCGGCGCCTCCCGGCGCCGGAGGCGAGTATGCATCGAGGAATGGGCCCCTCGGTGAGGCCGAAATCAGCTGCATGCAGCAAATTTCGTAACCCCCCCTTTCCCAATCCCCCCCTTTCGCCCGGCCCGACTCACTCAGGGCGCTCCAGGATGCTCCAAGGTTGGCGTGAGCGACGATCCACAGCGGTTCTCACGCAAGATGGCGCAGCGACCTCACGCGGTGGCTCACGCGGGCCCCCAGCGCAGCGCGCTCCGCTGGAGGCGAGGGCGCTTGCGCGCGACCTTGCGCGGGCAGCTGGCGCGCCAGTGGCGGCGCAGACGAGCCCGTTCGTTGCGTCGATCACGTAAGAGCTGCCTCGACGAGAGCCCCAAAGGCCGCTGGCTGCTGCCGAAGCTCGCCGCGCGCACGCGGGGGGCGTCGCCCGCCGGGTGGCCCGCGCGGTGCGCCGGCGCATGAGGCGGCAAACTCGCACCGAAGCGCCCACGGCGACACGGAGGCAGCGTTAGCACGACGACGACGGCGACGACGACGGCGACGACGATGGCGACGATGACGTCGACGACCGAAGCACCTCGACGACGGCGACGAGGGGCTCTGTGAAGGCTCTTCCCCCGGCGAGAGCGAGGAAGCATTCATACATACATTCGAGCGTGCATCCATGCTAACGTATATGCTTGCACGCACGCAAGCCCGCACGCGTACAGAAGTACAGCATGGACGCCAAGCGTGTGCAAATGAATCCACACGTAACGTTTTAGACATAGAAACATGTCTAAAAAACCATCTGCGGTAAGGTCCTCAAGCAGAGGCGTTTTGGACGCCTGCTGGGCATCCTGGAGGCCTCCCGGAAGGTACTTGTGGCGTGTCAGAAGCCGCACCCCCCAAGAGACGCCCCCACGGCAGTCCTGGGCACCCTCTTGGGGCCGTCAGGGGCTCCGCTGGGGCCTTTTTGGGGTCTACTTTTGGCCATCTGGGGCGCGCCTTGGACCGTCTCAGGGCCTTGTTGGGGGGCCCTCTTGGGCCGTCTTTGGCTCCCGGGGAGTGCCTCTTGGGCCGTCGAGGACGGTGTGACAACCCGAAGCGCGCATGTTCTAAAAACGTACGTTTCCTGGAGAGAATGGGGCGATTCTGGACTCCCCTGGCCCTCGTGGGGGCCCTCGTGGAGCCGTCTTGGGACGCCAAGCACATGCATTTGCTGCTTGGGGCCGTCGGACCCTCCTCGAAACCGTCGTGGGGGCGAGTCGGGGCCCTCTGGAGCCGCCTTGGCGGCGGTTCGGGCCGGTCAGGGGATTGCATGGGCTGCGGGCCAGAGGCCTCTCGGGGCCCGGTTGGGAGCCTCTTGGAGGTCTCCTAGGGGCTTCCGGAGGGGGCCTCCTGGGGTCTTTGGGCACTCTTTTGGGCTCAGAGCCTTTCGGTGCCTGTTGGGGGCCTGTTGGGGGCCAGTTGACGGGCGTTTAGGCGACAGGCCCGAAATGGCCGTTCGGGTTCCCCCTCTTGGGCCCATCTTGGGGCCCTCTGTGGACCCTCTTGGGCCGTCTTCGGGGCTTGTTGGTCCGTCTTGAGGCCCTCTGGGCCGCTTAAGGGCCCTCTTGGCGGCATCTTGGGCCACCTTGGTGCGATTTAGGACACCTCTTGGGTCGTCTTGGACCGTGCTGAAAGACAAAAGCGAACATGCTAAAAATGCACGCCTTCGCCCTGGGAATGTGACGTGTTTTGCTTCTTGGGGCCCTCTCGGGGATGCTCCTGGAGCGGTCTTGAAGCGTCGTCGACGCCTCCTGGGCCGCTCGACACGCCCCTTGGCCCGTCGGGCACTCCTGGAGGGCGTCGCTGGGATGACTCGGAACAGTATTGTGCCGCCGAGGCGGAGGTATGACCCGTAGAGCTTCCCGAAGAGCGAAGCGGCGAAGCTTAAGAGTAATACCTCGTAGAGTTCTTCGGCACCGATGAGCTAAAGGAATTCCGGCGCGGGGTGGAGCTTTGTGGCTCTCAGAAACGATTCTGGGCCCCCCGGTGGCGGGCCGGGCCCCTGGCCAAAGCTTTGTGGTCGAGGTCGCCGCCCCGGGCTTCCCAGGCCCAGCCCCCCGGTTAGATGTAGACTCTTCCCCGTCGCAACCCCCTGGACGTGTCGGCAGGGCGGGAGCTGTGGAGAGGGAATCTGGAGGGGGGTTGGTTGGAACTTCGTTAATGCGTTCTGGGTGCACACTGGCCTTCCTCCTCCTCCTCCTCCTCCTCCTCCTCTTCCTCCCCTTCCATCTCTCAGCTGGAGGCCCAGGGACACACGAACAACTGTACACGCATCTTGTGATGCCATTTCGTTTCCCCATATGAATCGTCTCCCTCTCCACTTCCAACATGTTCCCATATGTTCCTGGGGTCGGCGTTTCCTGGTGTCTGTCTATTTGTCCCTCTTGCCAAAGTCCTCCTCCCAATCCCCACCTCCCCCCACCCTCTCCGTCTTCACCATTCCTCCTCCTTCTCCTCCCACCCCGCCAACATCCCCCCTCCCTCGCCTGAAAGAATCCCGCTCGCGCCCCCTCCTCCACTCTTCAAATTGTTCCCAACCATCCTGTGGTGTTCTTACTCCTCCCGCTCCTCCCTCCAGTCGTCACCACCCTCACTTTGGCACACCCCTCACACGTTTCGTGGCCCCATAGGGAGCTCCACCAAAGGCCCCAGTGCTAGCACCCGCACGCGTCCCCCCACCCAGTACAGCGTGTCGTGGCCCCATAGGGAGCTCCACCGAAGGCCCCAATCCTGCCGCCCGCATGCGCACCCCCCCCCCAGTACAGCGAGCGTTCCGTGGCCCAATAGGGAGCTCCACCGACGGCCCCAATGCTACCGCCCGCATGCGTCCCCCCCGCCCAGTCCAGCGCATCGTGGGAGCTCCAACGAAGGTCCCAGTTCTACCGACCGCATGCGCCCCCCCAACCCAGAACAGCGTGTGGTGGCCCCATTGGGAACTCCACCGACGGCCACAGTGCTAGCGCGCGCATGCGTGACACCCACCCAGTACAGCGCTTCGTGGCCCCATAGGGAGTCCACCAAAGGCCCCAGTGCTACCGCCCGCATGCGTCCCCCCCACCCAGCACAGCGCTTCGTGGCCCCACAGGGGGCTCCACCGAAGGCTCCAGTGCTACCGCCCGCATGCGCACCCCCCCACCCAGTGCAGCGCTCCGTGGTCCCATGGGGAACTCCACCGATGGCCACAGTGCTACCGCCCGCATGCGTCCCCCCCACACAGTCCAGCGCTTCGTGGCCCCATAGGTAGCTCCACATAAGGCCCCAGTGCTACCGCCCGCATGCGCTCCCCCCACCCACTACAGCGCTTCGTGGCCCCATATAGGGAGCTCCACCGAAGGCCCAAGTGGCAACGCCCGCATGCGTCACCCCCACCCAGTACAGCGCTTCATGGCCCCAAGGGAGCTCCACCAACGGTCCCATCGCTACCGCCCGCATGCGCCACACCCCAGCCAGTCCAGCTTTTCGGGACCCCATAGGGAACTCCACCAAAGTCCCCAGTGGCACCGTCCGCATGCGTCACCCCCACCCACTACGGCGTTTCGTGGCTCCATAGGGAACTCCACCGAAGACCCCAGTGGATGCATTCGCATGCGGTTCCCTCGCGCAGTGCAGCGTTTCGTGGCCCCATAGGAGCTCCACCGAAGGCCCCAGTGGCGGTGTTCGCATGCGTTCGCACCACCCAACACAGCGCTTCGTGGCCTCATGGGGAGCTGTACCAGCGGCACTTGTGGCTGTACTCGCATGCGTTTCCCCCCACCCATTTCACAGCTTCGTTGCCCCATACGGAGCTCCATCGAAGGCCCCAGTGGCGGCCACGATCCATTGCGGCGCACCCCTCGCACTTTCCGCGGCCCCGTGGCGCGTTCCACGAAGCGCACCAGTGGCAGCGCGCCCACATGGCGGCCCCGCCCCACATCGGCACACCGCTCGCGTGCTCCATGGCCCCATGAAGAGATCCCCCGAATGCGATACCCGCAACGACGGTACTCACTCAGCGAGCGAAGAACGGTATAAAATAAACCTTTCGCTGTCGGGGGCGCCCGTCCCTGGGCGGCTGGAGAGTTTATACCCCTACGGTGCCATCGTAAGGGTATAAACTTTCCAGCCGCCCTGGGACAGGCGCCCCCGACAGCGAAAAAGTTTATTTTATACCGTTCTTCGCCCGTTAACTCACGACTGCACGTGGCTGGCTCCTTCGCCAAGATCATTTTCGGCGCGGCCCGCCGCGCCCCAGGCCGCCCCCGCGGCCCCGCCGGCGGGGGGGCGAATTCGGCCAGCACCGGCGCGCCGCCTGCGGGGACCCTGCCGCGAGCCCAGGGGTCGCTGGTGGGGAGACAGAGACAGAGCGTGAAGAGCGAGAGAGAGAGAGAGAGAACAAAAAAGAAATACCAAGAGAGAAAGAGAGTGAAAGAGAGAAAAACAAAAAAAATAACGATTCGAATGGAGAGGTGGTATCAGGAGGTAGGTGAACACCACCGTGAATATTCATGCTATGTTTCACCAGGGCCTATTTGGCGAGAAATCTCTTGCAAGTGCCAGACACGCATTGCCAACTGCGTTCAAGCTCTGCGACTCCCTCAAAAAAAGGAAACGAAGATCCAATGGACTGCGAACGCTTGACACAGACGATCGAAACAACAACGACGAAGGCAGGCCCAACAGCGGACCCTGTTGGGCAAATCGGTTGCAGAGCGGACCACGAACAGTATTCCCAAACATGGTCCCTTCTCTAAAATACCTCCGCGCATAAGTCCCAGCATCACCGGGGGGGGCGGCCAAAGATGTGGCAACTTGTCGTTTTGTATGACACTGTCCATCCGCCCGAAACTTGCCCCCGGCACCAGGGGCAACCCTAGCAACAACTCCGTCAATGTCGTTTTCAAGCGTCGCGCACTTACACCCGGGCACTTTCAGCACCGAGAACAACAAGAACACCAATAACAACAACAACAACAACAACAACAACAACAACAACAACAACAACAACAACAACAACAGCAATCAAGTTGAGCCTCTTCGATCTTACTGACACTCGTGTTTTGCATTCTCTGTACCCCAACCGTCGATACCCGCCCACTTCGTCTTCGATCGCACCCCCTTTCGGTGGGAATATCTTCCCTGTCGGCCACTGACTGAAGTGTGAGAAACTCTGGAGCGAGAACGCCGTTCCTGATATCGGGGGCCTCTCTGGCAAGGCCAGGGGCTCTCTTAACACAGTTTGATGGACAAATATCGAGCGGGAGCCCTTGTCACCGTGTCTGAACCTCCGCCAACTTGCCTGAATACGAGAAAATATTGAGCGAGAGCGCCGCTCTTCAGTTCGGGGGCCTCTCTGGCAAGGGCCTCTGCGAATACATCTTTAGGAAATATCGAACAAGAACACTTGTCGTCGTAGCTGTGCCTCCACGAGACATTCTCGAGCGAGACCGCTTTTTTTAGTTCGGGAGCTTTCCTGGCCAGGGGCTCTCGGAGTAAACCGTGGGGAAGCATCGAGCAGGAGCCCTTGTCGTCGTGGCTGGGCCTTTGCCAACTTGACTGAATCGCGAGGAAGTCTCGAACGACAGCGCCGTTCCTGAGATCGGGGGCCTCTCTGGCCAGGGTGTTTCGGGGTAAATTGTGAGGAAGTATCGAACGAGAGCCCTTGTCGGTGTAGTTGGGCCTCCACCAATTAGGCCGAATCGCGAGAAAGTCTTGCGCGAAACCGCCGCTCCTGAGTTCGGGCGCTTTCCTGGCCAGGGGCTCTCGGAGTAAATCCTAAGGAAGTATCGAGCAGGAGCCCTTGTCGTCGTGGCTGGACCTCCGCCAACTTGATTGAATTGCAAAGAAGTCTCAAGCGACAGCGCCGTTGGTGAGATCGGGGGCATCTCGGGCCAGGGTGATTCGGACCAAATTGTCAGGAACTATCGCGCGGGAGACGTTGTCGCCGAAGACGGGCATCCCACGGCACACTTTTACACTCAAGCCAACGCTCGCGCGGGAACCTCGTCTTCAGCGAGCATGCAGCTGGCGTCGAGGCGAGAGCGCGCGGAACCGTTACTCGAGATCAACCATATTTTTTCGTCTGGAGTGAATATTCAACAACAACAACAAAAATAACACCAACAACAGCAACACCAACAGCAGCAACGTGACCAGCAACAGCTTTGATAGCAACAGCAACAGCAACAATAGAAATAGCAACGACAACAACATCAACACCAACAGCAAAACCAACAACACCAGCGCCACCACCAACAGTACCAAACACCAACACCACCGACGACAACAACAACAACAACAACAACAACAACGACAACAACAACAGCATCAACAGCACCATCCAACAACACGAAAACCAATCACAACACCAACAACAACAACAGTAACCACCACAGCACCACTCATCATTTTAAGACTGTTCGCTCCTATCTGCTCACGTGCCACTCAACGCGTGTATCCCGAACCCTCTGGATTCGCCGTTTTTGTCTTCGATCGTCCCCCCTTGGGGTACATATATCTTCCTAACCAGCGACGTACATGTAGCGCAGCGCCTAAAACACGGAGTAGGGGACAACTGGCAAGGGGAGGGAAACAGATGGAACACAAGAGAAATCCCACCAGACCTTTAGGGCGCAGGTGGTTTAGAGCGTTTCCTCTTCCACCCCTCCCTTTCCCCTTCTGGGACGGGTTTTTCATTGTTCCCTATTAGTATACACCCCCTTCCCCAGGCGACTGGAAGCCAACCCGAGTCAATGAGGGCACCCCCCCACCATCCATGGGACAGACAATACCAACACACACGCTGCGTGGAAATTCCGGGCATGCGCGGCGAACCCGATGCGGCCTCCCCTGTCAACAAACAATACAAGGTACACTTGGCGGCGGCGGCGGCTGCGGCGGGGGCGGCGGCTGCGGCGGGGGCAGCAGTTGCGGCGGCTGCGGCGGCGGCGGCGGCAGCGGGGGCGGGGGCGGGGGCGGCGGCGGCGGCGATGGCGGCGGCGGCGGCGGCAGCGGTGGCAACAGCGGCTGCGGCGGCAGCGGCTGCGGCGGCGGCGACTCGGCAGTTGGGGCGGCGACGGCGGCGGCGACGGCGGCGGCGGCTGCGACGGTGGCAGCGGCTGTAGCTGCGGCGACTTGGCAGCGGCTGCTGCGGGCGGCGGCGGCGGCGGAGGCGGCGGCGGCGGCGGCGGCGGATTCGCCCCCAGCCATTCAAACACGACTGCTGCATACGCTGCGGCTCGGGCCAAGCTCGGGTGCGACGTACGTGCTGGGAAGGCGGGTGGGGGTGAGCGAGACGGCTTCCAGGCGGCGAGGGCGTCTTGACCCCTCCCACTACCCCCTCCCCTGGACCTCGACGGGGGCTTCCGCTGGTAGCTGGAGCGTCCAAAACGGCGTCGGCGAGGAAGCCCAAATCAGTGGTCTTACTAAGGTCTTGGCCCCACGTTGGACTCCTAGGGGGGGGGCTAATTAGGGGCCCCCACTTTTTTGATCGATATCCTCCGAGATGGCCCCACGAGCGCGAGGCCCCCAAGGGTGCCCCAAGAGGGCCCAACGAGGTGACCAGGAGGCCCCAAGAGGCCCCCAAGAGGCCCCCAGGATGCCCCCAAGAGGCCCCCAAGAGACCCCCGAGAGGCCCCTAGAGGCCCCCCAAAGGTAGCCAAGACGCTCCAAGAGGCATCGGCGAGAATGCCACGACCATTGATTTTACACAGGTTTTGGCCACACTTTGGCCTGCTAGGGGGGGGGGGGGGCGCTGATTAAGATGACTCCAAGAGCGCCTGGGAGAGCCCAAGATGACCTCCTAGATGGCTCAAGATTTCCCAAGATGCCTCAAGATGGATCCCACGATGCTCCGAGAAGCCCCAAGACCACTCCACGACGGCTCCAAGTGGCCAAAGAGCTCCCCCACCAGGCCACGAAGAGGCCACTCCTTCCAAAAACCTTTAAAACAAATCAATGTGTTTGGCTTTCTCGCCTTTTCGCTTCCGATGGCCATCCGACGCCTCAAAATGGCTCCAAGATGGCCCAAGAGGGCTCCAATACGCTCCAAAGGCTCCCAAGAGCGTTTCAAGAGGGCCCCAAGAGGCTCCCAGAAGGCCCCAACAGGCGCCCAAGAGGCCTCCAAGAGGCTCCCAAGAGACTCCCAAGAGGCCCCAAAAAGCTCTGCGAGGCACCCAGGGGCGTCCGGGACCGCCAAGAGGTCCCCAAGACGCTCTAAGAGGCCCACTTCCCTGACCGAGGTAATTCCTTTGGGCATCGTTTCTGGATGGGCTGGTGGGGTTACTTTTTTGATCGCGACCGCGTCGAAATAAGTCGGGCGGCGTCCAGGAGCGTAACGCACGGGCAGCGGCCTAAACTACGCGCGCAAGGAGAAGGAGAAGCGAAACGAGAAAAGACAAAGCGGGAAATCTGCTGGTGGGGTTACTTTGTTCGGTCGCGGCCGCGAACGAAGCGCGCAAGCGGCGAGAGAAGTTGTCCGGGCCGACGGGCAAACCTAAATAGCTACAAGACGCGCCGCAGGCCGGCCGGCCCACTCACCAAGCAGCAGCGGGGCTGCGCGGGAGGCAGACAGCTGGGGGCATCCAGGGAAGCTCGGGCACGTGCAGTCTGACAGAATGCAGAGACATTCGGTGCATGCCGTAAGGCATAACCCACACAGACGACGGAGGGACGTGCACGAAGAAGTGGTGTCCATCATGCTGGGTGGGCGTTCAGGCGAGAAGAACGATGGACGAGTCATGCTGGTGGGGGTACTCTTCTTGGTCGCGGCCACGACACGACGGTCAGGCGGCAAGAGCAAAGTCCGGGACGCGAACTAGGCGAATTAGCTACAACAGGCACAGGCCGGCCGGCCCACTCACACCGCAGCTGCGAGGCTGGAAGGGGGAGCTGACAGCGAACGGCGTCTCGGGATTCGGTGCTTGCTGGTGGGGTTACGCGAAGCGTCTAGAATATAAGCAGGAGGGGGCCAGGAGCAGAAAACCCGGGGCAGAACCAGACGCGGGCACATCGGGCGGGCTGACCCCAGCGGGCGGACGGGGAAGGCTGCCCGGGCGGCCAGGTCGAGCAGGCGGGTTGCTGAAGCGTGAGTCCTGCATAAAGCGCGAGTCCCAAGTAAAAGAGCAAAAGAGAGCGCGATTCCTGCATACGAAGCGAGGCAGTCCCATCGCAACAACAATCCGCACTGCGGAAGCCCACTTCCGCCACGCCTCTCGCTCTGAAGTATCCGCAACCATGCCTTCGGCACGCACTGTGATAGGTCGGGCGGATCCCCCCTACAGGCGGACTTTCGAAGACAAATCAAGCATAGTCACACAGTGCACCCAAAATACAAAAAACAAATCATCAGACATCCTCCCCAGACTATGGATTGACTCTGTTGGACTATTCCCTCTGTAGAGGGACACGCCCGACGTAAAGCGTCGTGGAGTGCCCAAAGGGCCCATGCAGCTCTGCGAGGTAGGAGGGCCACTGGTTCTCGGCGGCCCGGGGCACCCCCCCCTCCGCCTCCTGGGCGCCCCCCGAGCGCCGCCGCGCCCCCGCGCGTCCTCGCGGGGGCGAGTCGACCCTGAGCTCCTGGGGCGCCCAGCAGGTTCCAGGACGGGCCACGAGGACCCAGCAGAAGCGCCCAGAAGCGGGCGACGAGGGGCTCGAGTCGTCGAACGGTGGGGCGAAGGCGCCCACAAAGGTGTCCGCCGGACGGCCGAGGATGCCCCCAAGAGGCCTCCAAGAGGCCTCCAAGAGGCCTCCCAAGAGGGCCCCCAAAGGCAACATCCATCCATGTTCCTGAGGCTTTTGAAAATTTCTGCGTTCTCGCCTTTGCGGTTTCCCCAGGCTCCAGGACAGCCCAAGAGGCTTCCCAGACAGCCCCAAGACGGCCCCGGAGGCCCTCGAGAGGGTCCCATAACGGCTCCAAAGGGCTTCAAGACGGGCCAAAAGGTCTCCAAGACTGCCCAAGCGCCCCCTGAGACGGCTCCAAAAGGAGGCCCAGACGGGGGACTCGGAACACACATTTCGAGCACTTGGCCCCCAGAAGCCACCAGGAGGCCCCAAGAAGCACCCAGGAGGCCGCAAGAGGCCCCCACAAGAGGCCCCAACACGGCCTCAACAGGCTCCCCAGAGGACCCCAAAAGTGCGCCTCAGATGCTCCCGCGAGCGCTCCGAAGATATTCCAAAAAGCGGAAACCATTCAATATCCAGGTTAAAAAGAAAGCGTGCCTACTTAGCAAGTTCGATGTTTGGGGGTCGTCAAACTATGCACGACAACCCGAGTGCCCCCTTAGATCTCCCCAAGGTAGCCCAGGAGGCTCCCAAGAGGGCCTCAAAGAGGCCCCAGAGGGTCCGAATGTGTCCCAAGAGTCCCCCAAGACGGCCCAAGAGAACCCTAAGACGTCTACAAGGCGGGTCATAATCAAATGACCCGAACGGACATTCCGAGCCCTCGGCCACGAAAGGCTCTCAGGAGGCTTCAAGAGGCCCCTAAACTGCCCCCAAGAGGCACCAAAAGTGTTCCAAGAGGCCCCGAGAGTGCTCCGAAGAGACCCCCAAAAGCATCCCTCAGGACTATGACCCACAACCCAGGCACGGTAGCGGGATGGGCCGAAGGCCATCCAATACTCATATCTATAGATAGAGAGAAAGAGAGAGAGAGAGAGAGAGAGAGAAAAAAACAACAACAACAACAACAAAAAGAGAGAACGTGAGAGAGAGAGAGAGAAAGAGAGAGAAAGAGAGAAAGAGAGAGAGAGAGAGGAGGGGATTCTGACACACGCGCAAAGAGAGAGAGAGAGAGAGGATAAAAAAGGATAAAGAGAAGGCGAGACACTGGACTTGCGGAACAGAGGCCGACCTTCGCGCGCTGCACCCTCACGAGTGCAGGGCAACACGCACAACCTATACAACTCATGCAGAACACAGGCCTGGCATTCGCGGGGAGGGCACCCGGCTGGGCAAGCTGCTGCTCACTGCCACACTGCCAGAGCACGGCGCGCGAGCGCACTCTCCGAGCCTGACGGCCACGCGCGGCTGCGCGCCAGAGCTGCGCGAGCCCACCTATACGACGGGCCCGTGTCGTGCCGACTTCGGCGTTGCATTCTGACACCGCGGGGATCGTTCCGCCTTGAGCGATCGGCCGTGTCCGAACCGTCCGAACGATCGTTCCACGCCGAACGGTCCTGGGTCGCCCGCGGCGTTCAGCGTGGAACGCCGTTGGCGGGGTCGCCGCCGGTCGACACGACACTAGGGGAACAACAAGTGGCATAAACATAAAGACTCGGAGGTCCGAGCGGATTTCTCGGATCGGCGCTGGACCCCCTCCCTGGCGCGCGGCGCGCGCCAGGGGCGGCGCCGGAGGCGCCGCTGGGGGGTCCCAACGCCGATCCGAGAAGTCCGCGCGGACCTCCGAGTTTTTGTTTTATGCTTATGTCACTTTTTGTTCCCCTAGACACGAGCCTGCCCTAACGCTACTGGTACAAGCGCGCACGGCAGGGCTCAGGCGCCCGCCTCCTGTCCGGAACCGGGGGCTCGCCGTCGGCGCTTCCGCCGCCCGCCCCCCCCTCCCCGGGGCTGGCTGGGCTGAGGTCGGGCATGTACCCCTGCAGGCGCATTGTGGACGAAGAAATTAAAAAAAGAATCGAACAATGCACCCAGAATAATCAAAAAGTAATAAAGCAATCGTCCCCTGACTATTCTCGGACTACCGTCGGGGCGTTGACCCAAGGAACCCTAAATAAGGAACGGGGCCCCTGTTTCCCATAAATCAAACTTCGATTTCCCATCGAAAACCTAAGGAAAACCTGAGGCAAACTGTGAAACACTCAAGGAACACGGAGCCCCTCCCCAACAAATTCGGCTCCTTCTTCAGGGCCCCGACTGTATTTTTGAACATTCCTCCTGTACGGCAGGTTCGTGTCGTGCCGACCCCAGCGTTGGTTTTTGACACCGCAGGGATCGTTCCACCTTGAACGATCGGCCGCTGCCGCAACGTCCGATCGTTCAACATCGATCGATTCTGGGTCGGCGGCGGCGTTCAACCTTGAACGCCCGCGCTGGGGTCGCCGCTGGTCGACAAGACGCAAACCTACCGTAGAGGGAATGGCCCGACTTGTTTAAGGCTTGGCGCAGCCGGCGCGGGCCGTCGAGGGGGTGCAGCGGGCCGTCGATGCGGCATGGGCGTGCGCACACAGGCTCGCGGGCGTGGGCCGCCAAGAGGCTGGGCAGACGATGCGCAAAAATGAAGGGGCCCCAGGACACGCAAATAAATACACACAAATAAGAATATTCCCCATACTTTCTTATATTTTCCGGGGTTTTTGTCTTCCCGCCCAATTCCCGTATTTTCCCATATTTTCGGGGGAATCGCAGGTGTGGCAGGCCCGCGTCGAGCTGGCTTCTGACACCGCACAGGGATCACAATTCAGCCTTGCTCGACAGGCCGTTTCCCCGAAGCGTCGGGTCGCTCAACATCGACCGATTCTGGGTCGCAGGCGGCGTTCAACCTGGAACGCCAGCGGCGGGATCGCCACCGGTCGACACGACGCGAACCTACGACAACAAGGAGGATGCGAACGGTAAATCGAACGAGATGGGGATGTGAGTAGATGGCGATGACGATATCGAAGGCGGCGCTGCTGAGGACACAATTTTGCAGTTCGACGAGCGCGGTAACCAGAACAGGCAGGCACGCACACACATGTGGGGACGACTCAGCGTCCAAAGAAACGCTCAAAGAACACACGCGACAAGAACGGGCATGGACACTCCTGCCGGCCAAGGTGGGGCGATCGGGCAGCCACACAGACTGAGTAAATACGGGGGGGGGAATCAGCTCGCGCAGCTGATTCATCCACTGGCGCCTCCCAGCGCCCCAGGCGCCAGTGTACGGAGGAAAACACCCAACGGCGAGCCGAAACCAGCTGCAGTCGTAATGGGAGCAAACGACGACGACGACGACGGCGGCGACGACGACGACGAAAACGGCGACGGCGACGGCAGAAAACATGCCAGGGCGGACAAACGATGAACAGTCAGATCTGGCGACTGGATTTTATGATTATTTTGAGGCCCCTGGGAGGGGGGGTATTTGTCTAATCGTTTGCTCCCATGAATGCCTCCTTTTCCCATTCCCGCAGACGGCTCCTCGTCGTCTGGCTTCCAGGTCATTAGTTCCTCGGGCCTCCAGCGGCCGCTTGGGCCGACAATCGGGCCCCCCTGCAAGCGCCCACACGGCGAGGCGCAGCTGCCGGAGAGCGCCCCGAGGCTGGAGAATCGCCGAACGCCGATGCTGGCGCCCGAAAACCTTCAACGCCCTTCCCATCACCCCCTGCCATCCGACCCGAGACCTCCTCACTCCCTTCCCCCCGAGGGGGAGCGTTGGGGGGCTGGCCCAGGCGGGGGCATCCACCTGGACGCAGCGGCACGTCGCCGATGGATCGGTGACAGGCACCCGATGGCGAATCCGCGAGCTCCCAGCCGGGCTGTCTGGCCGTCATCGGCGAGGAATGGGCCATCGGGGGGCCGATGCGTCCGCCCCTGAGCCCATCCCCCCGAACGTTGCCCCCTGACCGGGTCTTGCTTGAGAGGTCGTACATCGACTCTCTGGCGGCCGCTCGGGGCGATCCATGACCCCCCCCAGAAGGCTCCTGGGGAGGCGCAGCTGCTGGAGCGCATCCAGAGGATGGATCACCGCCGAAAGCCGACGCGACTCCCGAAAACCCTGCACGTGCTTCCCTATCCCCCCTCTCGTCCAACCCGGTCCCCTCCGACTCCCTCTCCTCGCGCCGATCGATCATCGACCCTGCCCCTCGATGCTCCCGATCGAGCCTCCCGACCCTCCCTCGACCCCCTTCCCTGGAGGGATCGCAGGGTGGCGCCGCATCGCCGATGTATCGCAAAGTCTGTCTGAGTTCGGGCATGTCCCCTACAGGCGGATGTTGGGCTAAACATGACAAATAGTTTGAAACAAATCCCCAAATGTTCTAACATAATCAAACAAGCGGCCCCCTGAGTACGTTTTAAACTATGTTTGAATGCTCCCCCTGTAGAGGGACGCGCCCGACTTGAAGGTAGACGATGCGCCGACGACGCCGACGTGGAGAAATCCGGGCTCCACATCGAGCCGCAACGCCGATACATCGGCGATGCGGCGCGATCGCCCGACCCAATCTGCTCGGACCCCACCTGGGAGTCGTAGAACTTCCCTCGATCCCCCTCGAGTCTGCAACTCCAGGATATGCCTCGTAGTTTTTGTTTTGTTCTTTCGGGGATGCACAGACCCCCCTTTAGTAGAACGTGGTTTAGTGGAAACGACCTGAGGCCCAAACCTGGCGGGCGCAAGCCTGGAAAATAACGGCCACGGCGCCCTCTCGAGAACCGAAAACGGACAATTCACTAATCGACGTGTCACTGTTGGGGGTTCTGTCCACCCCCGGTTCTTCGGCGTTTCGACACTGGGCGGAACGAGGGGAGGGGGGGCGTCTGGCTCCAGACCCCTGCTTGCTTGGTGCGACTGTGCACCCTACGGGGGAGACTATCCACCTGCTCGAAACAGGCGCCCCAAACAGCCAAAATCTAGTGGGGGTAGGGACAGCGCGAGGTCCTGCAGCGTCGCGGCGCGGCGGATTCGCCGATGCACCATCGCGATTGCCAATGCCTCCATCGACGAGCATGGAACAAGAAAGCTGCATTAACATAAGCTTACAACGTTCCGCGCGGGTCTCTTGGATCTGCATTGGGCCCCCCTCCCTGGTGCGCTCCGCGCGCCAGGGGCGAGCGGCCCCCCATCTGGCGCTTTCTTCATGACTCGCGCATCCCCAAAATGTTTCTGGGGGTCCCAGGGACCCCCCTCTGATCTAGCCGCTGCCGCCCCCGCCCCCAGAACCCTCCCATCGGAACCCTCCCCGGGCCCCCACCAGGACCGCTCCAGGCACCCCCCCAAAGGAGAAGAAAGAGGACCGGACGAATCGAGGACGGAGGAGGCCACAGAGCCGCGAAGATCACCGAATCCGGAGCCCCCGGGATCGGCGGCACTGGCCGGAAGCCACTACAAGAAAAAAGTGAAATTGAAAAATACCCCCCGATAGCCAGACATTGTCAAACAAAAGTCCCCTCACTATTGTTTACTATTTGCTGTATACTCCTCCTGCAAAGAACCACGCCATCCCCGAGCACGCGCGCGCCGCACCGGGCGGCAGTCCTGCCACATGCGCTTGCGGGGCCGCGCCGCCTCGGCGCCAGCGGCCCCCCGCGCGCCGGCCTCCGTGGCCTGCCGGGGGCGCGCTCCTCGCTCGGACGCCCCGGAGGAGGAGGAGGAGGAGGAGGAGGAGGAGGAGGAGGAGGAGGAGGAGGAGGAGGAGGAGGAGGAGGAGGAGGAGGAGGAGGGGGAAGGGGAGGAGGAGGAGGAGGAAGAGGAGGAGGAGGGGGAAGGGGGAGGAGGAGGGGGGGGAGGAGGAGGAGGAGGAGGAGGAGGAGGAGGAGGAGGGAGAGGAGGAGGAGGGAGGAGGAGGAGGAGGAGGAGGAAGAGGAGGAGGAGGAGGAGGAGGAGGAGGAGGAGGAGGAGGAGGAGGAGGACTGCCTCCAGCCACTTCTCCCCGCTCCTCCCCCCATCAGCCCAGCTCCCCCCTCCCTCGCTCATCCTCCCTCCCTCGAAGCAGAACAACAGCAGCATAAACATGAACCTTGTTGGCGCTTCGCGCGGGTTTCTTGGATCTGCACCGGACCCTTTTCCCTGGCGCGCGGAGCGCGCCAGGGGCGGCGCCAGTGGCGCCGCCAAGGGGGCCCACGGCGGATCCAAGAAATCCGCTCGGAGCGCTTGCAATTCATGTTCATGGCGATTTTTCTTCAAGGACTCCCGCCTCCTCCGCCTCCTCCCGCCTCCCGCCTCCCGCCCCCCGCCTCCTCCTCCTCCTCCTCCTCCTCCTCCTCCTCCTCCTCCTCCTCCTCCTCCTGGCGCGGCGAGGCACGGTCTTTCCCGTCGCCGCGCTTGCGCGCCCCTTGGGAGCTCGTCCAGGCAGGCGACGACAAGGAAGAACACCGTGGCGGGCACCTCCCGGACGGGGCCCGGGCACGGATGCCTGGGCCCCGTCCGGCTAGTCAGCCAGCCCCTCCGCCAGCCGGGCGGCGGTCGTCGGGGCTTCCTCCCCGCGCACCGCCGTGCGGAGCTGCCGAGCGACGGCGCGGTGAAGCGCCGCGCTCAGCTCGGCGCCCCAGCGCCATGTCAGCGCGGCGGCCGCGGCCTCCGCCTCCTGGCCGTCGCCCAGCAGGCTCTGCGCCTGGTCCCGCGCGAGCCAGCGCAGGTGCCGCAGCGCTGCCTGCCCGAGGCGGCCTGCGGTCTCGTGCGCCAGCGGCAGCAGCGGCCAGGGCACGCGGTGCCCTGGGTAGCGGCGCCGCTTGTCGGCCTCTGCCGCGGCGTTGACCGCTCCGTCGCAGTCGGCGGCTGCTGCCAGGGCCCGCGCGTCGCCTGGGACGCTGTAGCGGACCGTGACGTCAGCGAGGAGACGGGGGCAATCCCCTCGCTGCGCCTCCAGGTCCAGGAGCGCTTCCTCCCGCTCCACCGCGAGCGCCGCTCCGCAGGCCGCGCGCGGCCCAGGCGGCGGGGCGCCAGCGGTGCCGTGCACCGCGCAGGCCGCGGAGGGGCAGCGCCAGCGCCACCTGTCCCAGGCGGGCACTGGCACCTGCCGTGCTGTCCGGAAGCCACACTCCTGGTGGATGTGCTCCCAGACGTCCTCCGGGTCGCGGCTCCGGGCCTTGGTGCCGCCCCCGCAGGCGCACCTGTAGGCGTGGCGCGCCTTGCTGCAGAGCGGCTCTCCGCAGGCCTGCCCCGCCCTCGCGCCAGTTCGCAGGCGGTTGCCGCAGCGGCCCCCGGCGGGCGCAGTGTCTTGGCCCAGCAGGGCTCGCGCCGTGGCGTAGTAGTCGGCGTCCTCGAGTCGTTGGCGCGGCCCGCCGTTGGCAAGCTGCCAGCCCGCCGCGTGAGGCCCTCCGCAAGAGCGCAGCAGTGCCCGCTCCTCAGCTCCCAGGGTGCTCCGCAAGGCGTGGTAGTGTTTTTTGTCAAGCCTTTGCGTGAGCAGCCGCTGGGTTTTTTGCTGGGGTTCGGCCGCAAGCTGTCTCCAGGGCGGCAGTAGCCGGGCCCTCTCCTCCTCTTCTGGCAGCAGCTCCGCCAGCGCTTCCCTGCAGGCGGCCGCTAGGGGCAGGCCGCAAGTGTCCAGGTCAGCCAGCTCCGCCAAGCCTGTCCGCGCCTGGACGCCAGCCAGGTTCTGCGCCCAGGAAGCCGCCCAAGCAGCTGGCTCCAGGGCGGCCTGGCTCCGGAGGCCTCGGCCGCCAAATCGCAGCGGCAGGCGGCATTGCGTCTGCTGCTCCTGCCTCAGGGGGTCGAGGCGCGCGAGCTCCCTGTAAGCCTCCAGCGCAGCGTCGTCAAAAGCGGCGGCGGCGGCCCGAGCGTCGGCCGGCCGGCAGGTGCGCAGCTGGCGGGTGAGCTTGCCCGTGCCGCAGAGCCGCAGCAGGAGCGCAGCCGCTTGCGCCGCCGGCAAGTGCGGCGAGGCCAGCGTGGGCAGCTCAGCAAGCCTCTGGAGCAGCGCCGCCGCCCTCTTCGCCGTCTCCGCGCAACGCGCGGCCGCGAAGCCTGCGCCGCCTAGGTCAAGCCGGCGTGCGTCTCTCTCGTCGGGCATGCCACCCGGCGGAAGCGGCTGGCCCAGCGGGACGCCCAGGAGCGCGATGCCGTCAGCGCGCCAGCGGCCCTCCAGGCCAGGCGGGCAGGCCGCGCGGGCAGACCAAACCTGCGTCTTCCGCTGCTGCAGCTCCAGCCCCAGGCGCCCCAGCGTCGTCTCCGCGGCCGTCTCGACCTCGCCTGCCAGGACGGGCGGCACGAGGACGACCGCGTCGTCCAGGTAAGCCAGCACGTGGACGTCGTCCGCCGACTGGCCGCAGTCTGCCGCTCGCGCCTTCAGCGCGCCCTCTAGCGCCTGCAAGGGGGAGCGGAGGCCGCAGGCGCAGAGCAAGGGCGCCAGCGGGCCCCCCTGGTCAACGCCGTCCGCCGAGCCCAGGCGGTGGCAGGTCCCGCCCGAGCCCCAGAAGTAATACTGGGATCGGCGCCGGCAAAACAAGTTCGCGTAGGGGAGGAGCTCCGGCGCAGCGGCCTCCAGCTCGCCCAAGCAAGTTGCGCGGTGCGCTGTCCCATAGGCGTTCTTCTGGTCCAGCGCCACCAAGACGAGGTCTGGCTTAACCTCCGTGAACGCCCGGACCGTGTGCGCCAGCAGCTCGGTGCCGGCCTTTGTGCCGATGGCGAACTGGTGCCGTCCGAGCGCGGTCGCGAGGTCCTCTTTCCGCGGCGTGACCAGCGCCCTCCCTACCAAGCGGCGGAGGATGTTGGGCGCGGCGATGGGTCGCACGCCGCCGCCTGGCTTGCTGAGCGGCGTCACCCGGGAGAGGGCGAGCGCGTCTGCTGCGCCAGCAGGTAGGTCCCCCGCGGCGAGCCGGTTGCAGATTTGGCAGAAAGCTTCTAGGGCGGCTGGCTCCGCCAGCAGCACCCGCCAGTGTTCGAAGCGGCCTCCGCCCACAGCAGCTCCGCTTCCCTTTGGGCTTCTCTGGAGCGCCCGTCGCAGTTCCAGGTGGGAAAGGGGCGAGGCGGCCGCGGGCCCGCCGCGGGCCCTGGGCTCGAGGGCAGGCGCTCCGCGCGGCTCGAGCAGTCCCTGGAGCGCCGCCGCTGTCTCGGGCGTGAGGGGAGCCAGCCCTGGGCTCGCGAGGAGCGCGGTCGCCCTGGAGTATTCCTCGGCCAGCGCCTTCCGAATCACCGCGTCTGCGAGGTGTTTCTCTGCGTCCTGGCGTTCCCCCGCGGCCTCCCTGCGCGCGCGCGTCAGGCCCTGGGCAATCCGTCGCGCCTCCGCCAGCAGTTCCTCCCAGGCGCCCCTGTGCAGCAGCGAACACCGCTGGCGGATCAACCCGGCCCGCGCGGCCGGCTCGTTCCCTGGCTGGCGCCTGCCGCCTGTGCCGCGCTTCAGCGGCGCTGAAAAAAGGAATCTCTCGCGGAGCAGAAGGAGCTTCCAGGCCCGCTCCTCCGCCTGGCTGCCGCGCGGCGCGTGCAGCGCCGCCTTGCAGAGGGCCTCCGTGGCCTGCGCAGCTGCGGCCCGCGCCCCGTTGGGCACGAAGCGGAGCGTGGGGCAGTCCGCCGCCAGTTCGTCAAGCAGGTCCAAGGTGTCCAGTCCAGACCAGCAGTCCGCCGCGAGGTCTTGGAGAGGCTGCTGCGGCGGCGGCGGCGGCAGCGCGGGCCTTGCCTCGCCCCCTGGCGCGGCGGGCGGCGCGTTTCCCAGCGGAGGCGACGCTGGGGCGGCGCCAGCCGCAGCGCCTCCGGCGGCGGCTGCGGCCGCGGCGGCGGCGGCTTCGGCGCAGCCCCGGCAGAGGAGCTCGTCGCAAGCTTCGCAGTGCATGGTGTAGCCAGCCTCCGGGCCCGGCCCCGCCCCCGCACGCAGCGCAAGCCTCGCGGCGCAAGGTCCGCACTGCGCGGAGCGGCCCCTGGCAACCCGGGCAGGTCAGCGCCGCCTCTGTCGCCGGCCCGGGGTGGCTAGCCTCGCCGACCCGCACGCCGGCGTAGCCGCAGAGCCGCCTCAGTGGCTGCGGCTGCGGCTGCGGAGGCGCGGGGGCGAAGCAGACCGTGCGGCCGTGGCAGCCTCCTGTCGGGCCCCGCGTAGGCGGCGCGCCGCCCTCAGAAGGGCTGCGTCGTCGTCTGCCCCTGCCTGGTCGAGTTCCTCCAGCAGGGCGCCCTCTTCTGCGCGGAGCTGCTCTTCTGCGCCCAGGTCGTCCGCCCAGCTGCCTGCGCCCCGGGCGCTGCCAAGCTCCGCGCCCAGGTTGGGCGGCGCGGCCTGCTCTGCCGCGGCCTCGAGCGCTGCGTGGGCCGCGGCCATGGCCGCCAGCAGCGGCTCTGGCGGCTCCGCGCCCCAGGCCCTGGCCCCTGTTTCCAGGCGTTCCAGCAGTTCGCGCGTGGCCTGGGCCAGGGCCGGCGGTTCCGCGGCGCCCCTGGGCGCAGCCGCCGCCCGTGCTTGCGCCGCTCGTTGGGCAGCCTCCTCCTCCTGAGCGGCTGCCTCGGCAGCTGCCGCCGCGGCGCGTGCTTCCGCCGCGCGTCGCAGCCGCCAGCGCGTCTTCTGCCGCAGTCGCCGCGGCTGCTGCTTTCCGCGCCGCAGCCCGGAGGCCCTCCAGGCGGTTGCCGGCGCGCTGCTGCGCCTGGCGCTCGCGGGCGGCTGCTTCCTGCCGCTGCAGTGGTTCCACCGCTTCCTGCGGTGCGCCTGCCTTGCGCGCGGCGGCCGCAGCCTGGCGGAAGGCGCCGGCCTGGGCCCCAGGCCGCTGTGGCCGGCCTCCAAGGAGGGCTGGCCACCCCTCGGCGGCTCCGCGGGCGGCCGCTTGAGGGGGGAGTGCAGCAGCAGCCCCGGCGCGAGGGGCCGCGCACCGGCGGCACGCGAGGCGGTCTTCGAAGTTGGAAGTGCCGCAAGCGCACTGCCACTCGGCCCTGCGCGGAGGCCGGAGCGCGCGCTTGTCTCGCCCTCCGCCTCCGCCTCCCCCTCCGCCGAAAAGGCTTTTCAGCAGCTCCACCGCCAGCTGCTGGTTCTCGCCAGCGCGCCTGGCGCGGCGTCGGTCGACGACCTGCCATGCCATCCCCAGCAAAGCAGCGCCGCCGCCAGCCTGAGCGCCTGCCCCAGGCGATCGCGCGGCGAGGGAGGGAAGGCAGGAACGGGGGAAAAGAGCAAGGAAGGGCGAACGAGGAGGGAGGCGGCCGGGCAACGGCTGCGCGCGACTAGATCCTCCTCCTCCTCCTCCTCCTCCTCCTCCTCCTCCTCCTCCTCCTCCTCCTCCATGCTACTTTTCCTGCCCCAAACATGCGATGTCGTGATCGTCTCAGTACGGGTTCCCTGAAGTCCTGGGCCTTTTCCCCAGGGCCAGTTTTTCATCCCTCGTCGTTGTCTGACGGCCCTGGTGCCTGGCAAGAGCCTCCAGAGGCCGACCACGTAGAAAATCTCCACCCTGACGTCTCCAGCACGCTGCACGTCTCGGGCATCCCCCCTTTGCGGCGCGCACACGGGGGCTGAGGGTGAGCGGGAAGCCTCCTCAGGAGGCAGCTCCTGAGGAGGCGCCGGCCCTTCATCTGCAGACAAGGCCTGGGCCTTCTCGGAAGCCGGAAGGTGCTGCAACGAAGCCTTCCCCCCTCCCTCTGCCCATTCGTTCGCCCCGCCGGAAACAATCAGAAAAAAAACTGCATCCTGATTTCTGTCGGGCAGGATGCTGCATGTCTGGGGTATCCTCCCTCCCTCGCCTCCTCGTCCTCCCTCCCGGGGCAACGAAAAGGCACCCACACCAGCACTCCCTGGACGTTTCCTGGGATGCGTTCTGACCGCCCCCCCTCCTTCGTCCCACCTTCCACCCCACTCCAGGCGTCGAGGTTCGAGGACGCCCAGGCGGGCTGGACGAAAGTGGGGCGCAGCAGAGGTGGGATTTGCCAAGAAGTTCACATCGCCGGTTTTCCAAGCGCACCTAGCGCCGAAAGCGGCTCCTCCTCCTACTCGTCCTCCTCCTCCTCCTCCTCCTCCTCCTCCTCCTCCTCCTCCTCCTCCTTTTCCTCATCCTCTTCCCTCTCCTCCTCCTTTTCCTCGTCCTCCTCCTTCTCCTCATTTTCCCCCCTCCACCTCCTCTTTCCACCTTCCCTCTGGCGCGCGTGATTTAAACAAGTATCGCGCCCCGCGGGGCTCATTCATCAGCCCCCAAGGGGGGGGGCTTGTTGTTAATCACAAGCAGACACACGCTGCGGACCGAGCTCCAAGAGCCATGGCATCCCCCGAACCGCCACCAGACTGGACCAGGAGCCGCTCGCCTCACACAGAGCCTTTGACAGACCCTCCTCCTGCCCCTCCTCCACCTCCACACCAATTCCCCCCGCGTCTCCCTGGACGCTCTCCTGCTACAGCAGGGCCTGGGACAGAAAAACACCCTTCAAGAACATGAGACCCTCCGCCGGCCGGAACACACAGAGCATCCAAGGGTATCCTCCCCAAGGATGCACAAGAGCATCCCGCAAGCAAGAAGAACACGATGGTACCCTCCCCGAACCGACTGCGATCTTGCACCTCAGTCCGACCGCACTCCTCTTCGCCTTTGGAGAAAGTAGACCCAAAACAAGACGAGTCCTGGAACTGCGGAGCACTCCCTTGGACAAGCTTCTCGTCGCTGATCTCTCCTCCTTGGGAAGGAAGAGTGCACATCAATGACACGCCGCCGTTCGGAGCCCGTCAGCGTGCTACTCGCTTGCTGTCGTCCGAGGACCTGATGCGTCGGAACAGTAACTCGCTCAGGGGATCCCCACGGCGGCGTGTCCTTGATGCTGTCTTTCAGCCCCGAAGTGCTTCTGTTGACCGCCCCGGGGGGGCCCGGGGAGGGCTTGGCGGAGGCCGCTGAGAGCAAAGACCCCCCCCTAGACGCCTCTCCCTCGGGGGAGGCAGGAGGCGCATGGAGGGTCCCACGGGGATGGGCAACACACGAACATGATACCCCAGGGAGCCTCGCCGAACTCGCTGGGCGATCGGAGCCACTGGGTCACTAGAGCTCCCTGTCCCCAAGCAGTGCGTGCGCTTAGGGGCTACCACTTGGCCTCGTGGAAAGAAAAGAGCTCGTATGCGGCCCATGCCGCCTCGTTGGCGCCCCGTGGGGCGCCCCGCGCTTGGAGGGCAATGTCGAGGTCGCGCCGCGCTGCCGCCCGTGCCGCCTTCCGGGCGCCTCGTGGGCGCCCCGCGCTTTGGGGGGGGTATGCTGAGGACGTGCCGCGCTGCCGCCCGTGCCGCCTCGCGGGCGCCCCCGCGCACTGGGGGGAACACGCGGTGGTGTTGCCACGTTGCCGCTGGTGCCGCCTCGCGGGCGCCTCGTGAGCGCCCCGCGCCCAGGGACTGTGCCGAGATTGCGCCACGTTGCCGACCGTGCCGCCAGGCGGGCGCCTCGTGAGCGCGCCCGCCCTGTGCTCTGAGCTTGCGCGGCACAGCGCTCACAGCATGGATTACACCGCATGTAACTGACACGGTGGGCTTCCACCGCGTGTCCTACAGCTCACAATTTGCATCACACAGCTTGCACCCCACAACTTCTTACCACCAACGCACGAAACCCAGCTTACACGACATAGCTTCCACCACATAGCTTACACCGCATAGTTGTCACCCCGTAAGCTCACTCCACGTAGCTGCCACCTCATACCGTACACCGTGCATTTGTCACTGCACAATGCAATAACTCTCTGTTTTGGGTCCACGCTGGCAACATGTGCTATTATTCGCGATGACGCCCGTTACTAGCCCCGACCCCCCTCCCCCTCTCTCGCTGGTAATGTCAAGGTTCACGCTGGCGCCGTCCGGGAATCTGCATTTCGCAGTTCCTGAACACTCCCAGACGGCGCTGGCGCGAAACCGCTGGCGCGAAACGTGACGTTCCCAGGCTCCCCTCTCCCGTCGCGAAGGGCAAGGGAAAACGCCCCAACACCACCTCCCAGAGGGTGGAGACGACGGGGTGCCGGAGGTGCAGGTGCAGGGCACACGCACCAGCATCACCGCGTGGAGGGCTGAAGGAGGCAGCGGCGGTCCCGGATTGTCGCTGGGCTGATGCGCACCCTTGCGGGCGCCTGCTTGCCGCCGCAGTGCCCGCTCCTCTTGAGCAGGGACCGACCGTCCCGGCATTCCTATAGTCCTCCCACTAAATTTTCTCAGAAGCCAGAGGATGTTCTGAGAACGCAGATCATGTTCTTAGAACTTTAACCCGATGGGACAAAGCAGGACAGTCCCAGCCAGAAATGCTCTAAGAACATTTCGTGGAAACCACAAGAAAGGTTCTTAGAACATTGTTTGGTCGGACCATCGGCACGGCCGCGCGGCCAGCAGGCGGCGGCAGGGCGCGGCCGCGGCGGCAGGGCACGGAAGCCTTGCTGCTGCTCCGCCTTCGCGCGGGGCCCCTGCGAGCCGCGGGGGCCCCTGCGGCGGCCTGGGCGGGCGCGGCTTGGTCGCTGGTGCGGACGCCGCCGCCGTCGTAGTCGTGTCCATCCTCGACCTCGTCGGGCATCGGATCCCGATCCATATTCGAGATTGCGAAACTCTGGGACCACACCAATCATGTGGGATTAGTGGACTAGAAGAGTTTGTTATTCCAACGCCTCTCCCTTCTAGCACGGGTCTATCCCTCCCCCTGCTTCTCCCCTGTGTGTGGATGCCCCACGAGGTGTTAGGGCTCCAACATGGACAAAGATAACTCCAATCTGGCCCCAGATCGCTCAGGATAGCCTCAAAACTGGCACAACATAATCCAAGTTGGCCATAACACAAGATCGTTCCGGTATGGTTTCAAGTGGCCACGGAACGCCCCAACGACACCCCTCAAAAGGCAAAATCGTGACACGGATGCTTGCCTGCGCGGGCCTCACCGAGCTCACTAATGCACTCTAGATGTGCGTCACACGTGGTGCACTCTCCCTCTCTCTATCTCGTGTCTATACCGATATATACATATATCGGTATATATCATATCGGTATAGCGATACAGTCCAACCAGCCCTTTAGGGCGAAGGTGGTCTAGGGAGGCTCCTCTTCCAACCCTTTTTCTTCCCCTTCGGGAAGGGCTTTACCCCTCCCCCATACCCCCCCCCTTCCTGGATCCGGACGGGGGGACGCTGCCCTGCCAATTGGAGCGTTCAAAATGGTCCAAGACGGCTCCAAGAGCGCCCCGGAGAGTCCAAGATGAACTCCAAAATGTCTCAAGGTAGCTCGAAATGCCCCAAGATGGCTCCGAAGATGCTCCAAAAAACCCCACCTCACGACGGCTCCAAGAGGCCTCCGAGACCTCCAAGGAGGCCCCCAAGAGGCCCCCAAGAGGCCAACATCCTTCGAACACCTGGTAAGCATCGTCGCCCGTTCGCTTTCGACAGCCTTCTGAGGCCTCAAGATGACTCCAAAATGGCCCAAGAGGGCCCCAAGAGTTATATTACCCGATGACCGCTACAGTCTGCAAAACAATAATTATATGAAAAATACTCTAAAAATATAGGAGGGGGGGGGGGGGGGGACGCCTATGCTGAATACTCAAAAAATAGTCTAAACATACATCATAAAACCAATGTTTTTTTCCAATCGCCCCACGCATTGTGCGAGCGATGAACCTTTTCGGGGCAGAGTGCAGCAGTAATCGTAAGAAGTGGATAAGGCCACTTCGAATGTGTTTGTGTTATTGTTCCAGGTGTTACCGAAACACCTCCCCAAACGGGTGCAATCGTGCACGGTGGGATCTTGCGCTGGAGGATTTCGGAAAACAAGAAATAGACTAAACCGATCTAGTCTTTCAAGAGGGGCCCAGAGCCCAGAGGCCCGAAGTGACAGCAAAAACACTGGCCCCACAGAGCCGAAGCCCTGACACCGTAGCGTCCGCGGGCTGCAACCCCAGAGAAAACCTGTACACCAATCCCCGATGCCCAAATCACGCTACCAGAGGCCGCAAGGAATCCCCCATTGAAATACTGGCCGCGGCTTTTCGCGCCGAGGCCCGTCACCCAGTGCCCCGCGCCGAAGTGCAAATCCAGCGCGGGGCCCCAAGACCGAGGCCCTTAACGAAACACAGTGGGCTCCAAGATCCGAGTCCTGAATCGGCCGCGCCCCATACAGATCAACAGAAACCACCTGCAAGTGGCCAATCCGACGCCGAACGCCGACCCATTGCTCCAAGACCCTTGGGTGTGGGGCAGGCGGAGAAGGGCGACAGCCCACGAATGCGAAGGACACACAATGGGAAGCACGGGCATGCTGTGTAACCATCAAGAACATACATATGAATAGACATTCTCGCGCACCGCACCTGATCAGGCAGACCTCAGGGGCAACGCCCCCCTTCCTCGAGACAGGGGGGCACGAACAAATCACGGATACTATTTCCCAACACTGGCGCAGGCAGTGTTACATCCACAGATCCTGTCTCACCCTTCGGCACGCGGCCCCGCGCCGCGGCCGTGCGCGACCGTGCCCCATCGTGGGCGGGCCCGTGACGCAGCGCTGGTCGCCACGCTGCGGGGGCGCGGGCCTGTCGTCGCAGGCCCTGGCACCCACAAAAGTTCAGCAGGGTCGAAGGCAAACTGATTCAGTACTCGATCACCGCATCTTGAGCGCATCCCTGTACCGCGACACCACGACGCGCGGCAGTGACTCAGGCTGGATGCCGAACTTCCTGAGCTTGGACTGGGTATTCATGCAGCTGTTGCGCATGGCTATCTTGTTACCTTGGAGCGACTCCGTGCCGAACGCCTTCAGGAGCTCTGCGCTCATGCAGAGCGCGCGGATGACCGCGATCTCCTCGGTGATGCCTGCGGTCGCCTCGGTGGAGTAGCTTGGCAGCGAGTACTCTGTCGCCTTGCCCGCCACTGTCGTCAAGGCCCCCTCGATGGTGCACGTCTGGTCGAGCCACTCGTTGACGGGCGCCTCGTGCAGACCGAGGCGGTAGAGGTCGAGCGCGGCATTGAGAGTCGTACAGTTGTCGCACTCCTTCTTGAACTCAGCGACGCCAGCCGCCTCCTCAGCGCTCTTCTTCAGGTTCGTGAAGTCCAGCCTTGTCTTCTCGCACAGGGCGCCGACGATCTTCGCCCCGACCCTCTGGACAAGGTCGCTCGCAGAGTTCACGGCGTCAGCCACCTGCAGCGAAGCGCCAACGTGAAATTTCTCAAGGGCAGTGCTGCGGGCGTTGTGGTTCGCTTTCTGGACGGCCCGAGTCAACTCCCTGGCGTGGCGCTCGACGTCGGCAGGCGTAGCATCCTGCAAACCCTCCTCCACGTGGTGCTCCGCCTGCGCGAGCGTTGTCTGGACGCGCGCCACGCGCCAAGCAGCGCCCAGCCACGCTGCCACACCCGTTGAAGCATCCACCGATGAACACGGCACGTTCGGCGCTAAGAGCTCCAAGACTTCAAACAGGAAGCCTTCTTTCGTAGTCCAGTCGGCCCCGTCCTTGAAGAGGTCGACAATGATGGAGGTGAACAACGAGTTGCACGACTCCTGCAGCTTCTCGGGCAGGGCCTTCATGCGACAGCTGTGTAACGCATCCTTCAGACGGTGAGTCAACTCCTTATCACCATCATTCCACGTGGCCAACGCATCTGCTAACATCTCGTGCTTCACGCCGAGGTCCATGGCCGCTATCTTGGACTGGAGCGCACGAGAGCAGCGCTCCACTTGCTCGTCCGCCGCGAACACGTTGGACAAGTCCTTGAACAACTCCTTGTAAGCGATCGTCACCGCCGTCGTCTGGGCGCCGCCCTCCGTGCCGATGTCGCCGTTGCCCTATGGGGTGGGGCAATGGGCCCACCTGCGCTCCCACGTCCAACCCTATCGGTGTGCACTACTAGCTGTTAGTCAGTAGTCGCTAGTCCTAGCTACTGGTACCCCTTAGACACACCGACGGGGGTTGGACATAGGAGTGCAAGTGGGCGTATTGCACCACCCCCGAACCTCGCCATCAGAAGTGAGCGCCTTGCACTGCAAAATGGACCTGTTGAGGACCATGGCCTTGCACTCGTCAGCGCAGCCCGTGTACATGGCGGCCTCCCAGTACGGTACGTCGTCCACGATGCGCTTGAGCAGCTTGGCACGCTGCTCCGACGGGTTAGCGTCCATCCGCTCCAGCTCGGCGATGGCCGACTTCACATGGCCGCCGTTCTTCGTGACTGCATCTGCGTGCTCCGTCATCCACTTCAACTTCTTAGCCCAGAAGTCGTTGGCGCTCGTCAGGAGCGCCTGGCCCACGAGCTGATGCACGCTCTGCTGTCCAGTGGTGCGTCGGCCCTCAGCTTCCAAGCGCCCTGCGTCCACGTACACCTGCATGTCAGTGTCCGCTGTCAAGGACGTCGCCTGCATCGCTGTCAGCACTCGGATCGCCGAAGTCATCTCGAGGTAAACTGAAGCTGAGTGGTCGCCGAGCTCCGCGTCTTCGGGCAATGATGCGAGGACGAGGTCCGCTGCCTCGCAGTAGAGCTTGACGTTGTCAGCCGCGCTGGGGCCTGCCGTGAGCCACTCTGCGAGGGTGTCTGCGACGGCGATCTCCAGGAAGGTGTTCGCGACGTCGGCGTCGGACGTGCACCCATCGACCAAGCACACTGCACACGGGTTCGCCACATCCCGAGGTTTGGCGGTGAAGCCCCACGGCCGACACCGCTCCATGAAACCGACCAGCAACTGCTTCATCTTGTCCGTGTCCAGGTCGGCCTTGTTGATGTCCTGCCAAGCGTTCATGGCAGTCCTCCTGGCCAATGCCTTCACAGCCCGTTGCGTGAGCGTGGCGCCTGCTTTTCGTAGGACTTCCCATGAGGCCATCAGCTCCCCGTCTGGCACCTTCGCCACAGCCTTCTCGTCGAACAGCTTCGCCTTGTTGTAGAGCTCCAGGTGGGTCTGCAGCGTGCGGCGCTCCGTGCCCGTGAGCTTCTGGACGAGTTGTCTAGCTTGGTTCTCGGCTCTCCCATTCTTATGGCCGTTGAAGGCCCTCTCGAACGCCAGCTCCCAGACCCAGTAGTCCACTGTGCCGAGCGTGTGCGGGTTCTGCCTCTCGGGCTCGTAACTGTCGGTGGGCGCCGCGGCCGTCCTTGAAGATTTCAAAGGCTTACCACCCATGTCACGTGGCGACATTGACGGCTGCCTCTTCACTGCGCTGCCAGGCTGATGATCGATGGAGTCGGCTCTGGAGGAAGCGGCCCCAGTGCACTCAGCCGCGGCATCTGGGTCGAAGGGATGCACGCTGCTCGAGGCCGCATCCTCAAAGTCAAGCACCTCGATGTCATCGCCCCCTCCGTCGTCGTCGTCCTGCTCGCCGATCTTCGATCCAGCGCGGGTCCTCTTGGCGTTCTTCTCCGCTATCTTGTCAGCGCGGTCCCGCACCTCGGCCCACGTCGCGATGGACGAGCGCGCGCCAGGCGTGAGGTCGAGGTTGATCTCGCCACCCTGGCCCGCAGTAGTAGCACCAAACAACACGGTAGACTGGTTCTCGAACAGCTCTTGGGCATCTCGCTTGAGGAAGCCGACGCTGGCCACGGTGCTACTGCG